CTCCCTCCCTTTCTTCCATCATGCCTATGAAATACTCACGATGCCTGGAAAGCACCAGAATCCCAGCTAGCTCTGGTTGCTTTAGACTGAAGTAAGATCACAGGCTTTGTCCTCCTCCGATCTGACTTTCTCCGCTGCCTGTCCCCGGTGGCCTCCTTCCTCCGTCTCCAGCGGCTGGGAACGAAGGCTGAGCCCAGCCCCGCTTGGTTTCCTGGGTCAGCTTGACCAATACATCGTGCTGGTACTTAGCTAAGTTAGGCGAAGCAGTCGCAGACAGGGCTGAGCCCTCGAGGGTCCGCACAAAACGTAGTTGTCTGCCCTTTCCTGCCGTCCCGACGCTGCTGGATCCCCGGTACCTGAGTGACCACACCTGTGACCTTACAGGCGCTCGTAAGTCGCACCCATGTTGTGCCTGCGTGGGTTTTGCTCTGTAAAACTCCCCTGTGAAGTGGGTTCCCCAGCCACCCACTGGAGTCCCCTCCTGCCTCTCAGGAGTTGTCTCCTCAGTAAACAGTGTCCTGCTCTTAACCAATGTTGTGTCTAGAATTCACCCTTGGGCTTTAGAGAACGCGAACTTGGTGTATCAGACGTCTAACAGGTGGGGAGGTAGGACATTTTCATGCCTCATCTCCTGTGCCACTTTTTGTTACTGCTTCCGGGTCGTGTTGCACGAGTCACGGTCATCATTGTCACTTGGTCTCCGATTCTAACTCGGGCTCTGCGTGTGGACCCCAGGACCGCCTCGCCCAGGGTGGGAACTGTTTCTCTAACAGTTTGAGTCCAGCCTGGTCAACTCGCTAAGACCTTCCCCAAAGCAAAGTAACAGAGCGGGCAAGGGGAAGAGGAAGACGCCGGAGTATGCAGAGCAGTCTTAGGAAACCACTCCTCCCCTGTCTCGCAGCCCTGAGTCTCAGGCCCTCCCGGTTCAACCCTGAGCTTCCTTCTAAGAGCGGGAGGGTTCGGGGGCAGGCGTGGGGCTTCTTCTCCAGTCCGATCAAAGGCCAGGACAACCCCGGCCCTGTTTGGGAATCATGATTATTAGTTGCAAGTGTTGTTAATTTGTTTTTCTTGAGCCTGCTTTCTCTTTTCCCTGTGAACCCTCGTTCCCGTGGAGCGGGTGTTGCGGTTACTATGGTAATCCTAGCCCATAATAGTTTGGTCTTTCCCTTTAAAAGGCTGATGCTTGCCTGCAATAAACGTCGCCTTGATCAGACTCTTGTCGTCCTTCTTTTTCTCTCTGCCCCATCTCCACCCTGCTGTTCTTTCAGGTTTGAGGCACTGCTGGACAGTGCTCTGCATCGCCAGCTTGCGACACAGGGGTGCCGTCGAATATATCCCAGACTTCAGAGGTGAAAACTGAGCATTTCCGCCCTGCGCACACTTAGGGGATTGAAGAGTCGTGCGTGCTGATCTTTCCTCTTTGGCTTACGTCCATGTCGAATGCGCATAGTTTTGTTTTGATTTTTTTCTTTTTTCCCCCCCCCCCGCCGCCATGTTGCACAGATCTGTTACCTTCACGGTGACTTTGCGTGAATCGATCAGAACGGCCCTCAATTTTGAAACCTCTTCGTGGCGGTTTTCCTTTATCTGAAGGCACACTGGGTCTGGAGACCGCAACCACTCAGCCCCGCTCACCCCGCGATTGGAAGTGGGCGGGCGGCGCTAGAACCGCGTCCAGACGGGATCCCCCGTGTGTGTGCCCCTGTGTTCGTGCACACACGCGTGGAAAGACGTGCCAGGAGCTGGGGGCTGCTGAGGGGGGATCTGGAAGCCGTGCGCCAAGGGAGAGAGGGAAACACCAATTCGGGGTGGATACTTCCGGTTTGAAACCGGCCTGGGCTTGCATCTCCCACAAGACGCCACAGCCTTTGCTGATCATCCCAGCAGCCGAGAGCCTATCCCGGCCCTGCAGCCGTTCCCCGCGCCCAGCAGGAGCGCTGCCCGCGTCACCCCGCTGGAGGACCCAAGGGCGCGCGTCCTGGGAAGAGGCAGTGGGGGGGGCGGCTGGGGACCCCTGAAAGGCACCCTGGGACCCCACACTCCTCTCTGCCGCTGTCGGGCGCCACCATGTGAGCAGCGTTGTCTCGCCACGTGCTCCTGGCCACGACGCTTGACTTTGCCACAGGCTCAGAGCGATGGGGCCCAGGGGCCATGGCCTGCAACCCCTGAGCCATGAGCCGACTGAAGCTCTCCTGGAAAGTCAGTGTTTTGTTTGTACCTTGCGCTTGGGAGGCAGGCAGCGGAACCACTGAGCCAAATCCCCAGCCTCCTGGGAAGTCAGTGACCTCAGCTCTTCTGCCCACGATGGAGGCCCGTGGCCCTGGAACACCCTGGGTCTGGGCCACCTGAGGGCAGCACCATGGGAAAGACCACAAGGACTTGGGGCTCCAGCGCCATCTCATGCAGGAAAATGGTGCAATGGAGTAAGACTGGCGTCTTACAGAGGTCACTGGCGCAGCCCTGGAATCCCAGCACTCGAGAGGCTGAGGCAGGAAGATGACAAGTTGGAGTGAGTTCAGGGCCAGTCTGGACTGCAGAGTCAGACTCTGTCTGCAAGACGACAGCAGCAGAGCTCCCTGGGGTAGTCCAGAAAATGTACCAGGCTGGGAAATGGGTCTGAGGCCAGACCATAATACTGGAGTCTCCTTCCCTGCTCCACCAAGGAGGCACCGATGGTGGTAAGGTAGCAGGAGCAGCAGAGGAGAAACAAAGGTGAGGAGCACGGTGCTCACCGTATCATTTTCCTCCCCTGATAAACGGATTGGTGAGTCAGGCCTAGGCTCACTGGTGCTGTGTGGATTATGTCCCTTTGAGGCTCACTGGTCCAGGACTGTGAGGCCATTGGGAGCACTGGCGACGAGGGGATTTGGGGAGCGAGGGAAGGCTCCGTGGTACAGCACTTGCCCACCAGTG